GAGCGCTCTTATATACCCGCCAGCGAACGAACTTGCTCGCGGGCGGATCACCCGGGCGACGCGCCGCTAGTTGCGGCGGCGAGTGTCCAGCGCGCGCGAGACCATCTCGCCTGTTGCGCTGCAACCCGGTGGTCGAGTTTCGCTCGATCCGCAACAGTTATTGCCATCGTGAACACTACTGATTTTTAATATTATGTGCATCAAACGCCAAACCGCATGGCATTTTAGAAGGTCAAATGTCAAGGCTTTAAAACCGCAAAAGGGCGGGAAGATAAATAAAATTTAAATTGTTATTTCAGTTATATGAAATCTAAAACTCAGAACTTTTTTGCTCACCTAATAACTTATTTCTTAATTTTAATTAAAATTAGTTTTAATTAAATTTAAGTTTGATGATTTAATGAAATTTAATTTTTATTTAACTTAAATTAAAAAAAAATTAAAAATTAAATTTAAATAAAATTTAATTAATCAATTATAATTATTTATATATAATTATTATAATTATTATTACTCATAATTTTATTTAAAAATGCAAGTTAAATTAAAAGTAAGTTAAATTAAATTTTAAATTAAATTAAAATTAAATAAGAACTTTTTTGCTCACCTAATAAATTGTCAACTGCACTTTTTAAAATGCACTGTCGAATCGCTTCGCGATTTGAACTCATATTGTCGTCTGCTCTAGCTCGCCACTGCAGCTTTGCTGATCTACAGCGGTTTTGCGGCCCTCTACTACGCAAAAGTGAATCCCCCGACCACGGACGATGACTACGACGACATATTTCGCCGGCGACGACGACGACGACGAAGGAGACGCCGTTCGCTTCCGCTTGTGGCACGCGACAGGCCATTCGTCGGACTGGACGCTGTCACGTTTCAAAGGATAGTCGAAGCCGCAGACGCCGAACGAGCGCGTTGATTTCGTCGCGGTCGTTTCTTTAACAGAAGCGTGAAAGGACACGATGCATGTGATGCGAAGACGGTAAATGAAGATCAGCGAACGATTGAACGTTGAAACGGTATATATAATGCTGTGCCTCAGGGGAGTAAGGACCGGCGTCTAAAATTTCAAAGTTGGCGATTAAAGCTGCGCTTAAAGCTGCGATCGTCCCTTCCAAAGGTACAGAATCAATCATGCGAGATCTTTTCTAAAAAGGAGGTATTACGTTTAACCCTTAAGTGATGTGGATAAAGTGCAAGTCATACTACGATCAAACTGAAAGAAATAATTTTTATTATTACAAGAATGAAAAATTGTGATTCGATATATTTTCTATATTACTTTTATTCCTATTTAAATGTATGTTGTGTAATTATTGTTCGTCAACGTGTTTTAGATTGAAAGTACAAAATTGTTGAACATTCGGAAACACACGTTTCACGTGGCATTTCCGCTTATATTGCATTAATTAGAGGTTAATCATCAGAAAATCGGAGGAAATACGATGTAATTGTTGTTTATGAAGTAATCTCAAAAGTTACTAGATGAACGGTGTATATAATTTTACACGTGTGTGTACGTGGATGCATCAGTGCGGTGTGTGTGTTCAATTAGTAATTTCGGAATACGATTTGTTTATATTTTTCCGATTTGAGATATCTACGAATAAAATGTGTGTAATTAAAAGAGAGAGAGAGAGAGGGAGTCGAAGGATTAAGGAGGTTCTAGCGCTAAATGCCGTCTTTCCAATGGCGCATTAAGAGGGCCTCTCATAAGTTTACTATTTATCAAGCAAAGTTTCTTTTCTATACATTAATTTCATTATCCAAATAATAAATGTTAATTTGAAACGAAACTGAAGTAAATATATACACAATATTGCAAATACGAAAATATCATCATTTTTTATTTGTCTTAATGTTATATTTGTATTGCATTAATTGATCTCATAAAGATGCATAAATAATGGAAAGAAGTATACAAGTGTTTAAATATATATTTACATATATGTATTTTGAATATGACTATAAATTATAAACTTTCCACCACTGTATTTTCAAAATGAAACAGTCAATGATTTCGAAATTTGTCCATAATATCTGTTTATTAGTCCCTAATATTACAATAGCTTTTTAAACTTGACATATTTGTGTATAAGATGGATGTCAAATTAGAAGAAATTTGGCGTATTATGAGGTTTCTATGTTTGCACACAAGTTTATAATTAAATATCTCGGAAACGTTGCGGCAAAAAAACGATCGGAATTTCTGTTACGCATTGTTAGTTCGATCAAGTCTTGTATCACATATACATTACAGATTTATCTTATACGTGGTTGAACACTCGAGCCTTCTTAATCGGACGAAAAGCGTAATGAGAGCGAAGAGACAGGTGGACCGCGATCGGTGGATACTTGTCGCGTTGAGAGGCGGCCGACTCGAGAGAACGACGACTTCTGCGTCGACCCGAGTGTGTCACGCTCGGCCCGGCCGAAGAGACCGAAGGGCCAGGCGGTGATCGGTAAATGTATGCGTGCGACGGGATCAAAACGTAATAAAAATCCCCCGAAAAAATGTCGACCGATAAATCAAGCGTGTCGCGGCGAACCGCAGCGTGGATGCGGACCGTCGCGCGACACGACGCGACGCGGCGCGATGCCGTGCGATGCGCTTCGTAATGGGCGCGCGCGCGCACACGTATATATATATATATTTCGAAGCTGTATGCGTGTACACGCGCGCGTACGCTCGCAATGCGCGCTCGGTACGCGCGCATCGGAGCTCGGAGGCAAATTTCCTTGTCGAACGCCGCGACGTAACGCGAGACCCCTCGAGCGACTTTTCGGAGTGTCAGGGCCGTACGTCCGCGTCGTGTCGCCTGACCGTCGAGTCGTCCGCAACGGTGCGATCCGAGGGAAACATTTAAGCTTCGGGAGAGGTACGGCCGACGCGACAGTTTCGGCCGTGTTTCCAGCGAGGAAGAGGAAGACGAAAGGCGAGAGGGGAAATTGGACGGTAAAGTGCGAGCAACACGGCGATACGGCCCTGGGAGGCATCACCTACGGCCTATCTCCTCTGATGCTGATGCATTCCACCACGTAGTCAGCTGCGAGGGATACCTTAAGAGCGAACTTACGACGACCGGGTGCCCAGTCTCATCCACCCGAGAGCTACCATTTCGGAGGGGTGAGCACCGAATGAGAGTTGGGGCCGGCTCGTCCCTTCTTTTTTTTATACCTGGTCGGAGATTTTACAGATAAATCTCCGACGACGGAGGGAAACGACGAGCGAGGGATTACGCCCCGCTCCGAAATCCGGACCGCGGGCGATAAAAAGTATTATTTACAGCTCTCGGTACCGGCGCGCATACATGCACCGATCGATAATTCTCCCCCTCCTCACCCCCTCTCCTTCTCTCCTCCCCGTAAACCTCTCGGCCGCCCGCTACGTGCCGCTCCCGCGAGCGAGTGGAATAATAATACGCGATAATGATAGTGCCGCTAACCGGCGCGGCAGCGTCACGACGACGGACGCGCTCTTCCCGCCGAGGACTTGCGGAATTCCAATTTCTCGCGAGACTGCTCCGCTAGGCTTAAAGCTGACGATTGACGTTAGCGCAGTATTCTACACTGAGAAACCCATTTAGTTGAATCGACTAAATTCTTATTTGACTATGGGCAAACAAATTTTTTGTTGTAAGAACCAAGGTTTAGTTCTCTGAACCGAAAGTTTGGTTCCTTGAACCCTCTGAAACTTCAGAGAACCTAACCTTCGGTTCAGAGAACTAAACCTTGGTTCTTATAACCAAAAATTTGTTTGCCCAAAGTCAAACAAGAATTTAGTTGATTCAACTAAATGAGTGTACGCGGGAGAAACGATTCCGTTGATGCGACTGAATTTTTCGTTGCCTGGGGAAAAACTCATTTGAAGATTTTAGGAAGTTTCTGCTCGGTCAGTTGCTCTCAGTTGCTGCGGCTGAGTTTTAATGCACATTGAGAAGAAAATTTAGTAATAAATTAATAAATAAAATAATATTTAATTTTATATAAAATATAATTTGATATAAAATAATAATATTTTATACTAAATAAAATATTAAGTATAAAATAAAGTTTTACGATCATTTGCCGACCAAATATTTGATTATTGTAACCAAACCATTTAGTCCCGTTGTATACTAAATATACAATATACAAAACTAAATTATTTGGTTGCAATGATTCAATATTTGGTTGGTAAATATTCATCAAATTTTAGTACTTATCAAATCTTTCTTTCAGTGCAGCTGAAAGTCCATACAAATTTGCTCAGTCGCGATAATAGATATCATTTATTATCAACAGAAATATCACTTATTGTCATTGAATTTTCATCCGGTCCCTGTTCAGCTGTAGGAACTGAGATTTTTTCCGTTTTTTAGAAAGAGAAAGAGAGAGAGAGAATTTTCTCTCAACATTCTACACGGAAGAAACAATTCCTTTGATGTGATTGAATTTTCCGTTGAATAGTGACAGAAATATTGTTTCTTGTCATAGAATTTTTATTTCTTATTATAGTTTTCATCTGATCCCCATTCAGTTGCAGGAACTGATATTTTTTCCATGTAGGAGATAATTCGACATTATAGGCGGTGATACCGTAAGATCAGTTAGTTAATCCATCCGTTCTCGTTAAAGCCCAGACAGAACGTCACCCCTTCATTTTTCTCGAGGTAGTTGTTCGCAGCCGTACGTCACGGATATGCTAAGCGATCCAATTTCGTATGATTTTTCCAGAGTTAGCACACGTCAAGAAATAAATGTTTGTTTCGCAAAGCGAAGTACGCGATGTGACGCGAGAACGCATCGTCATTTAATTTCCGCGGTTCTCGCTAGCGGATCTTCCGAACGATCCTTATCTCGATTATGCGATTTCAGACACGGATTGCAGACACACGGCGAGTGTCTCTCGGGTTCTCGCTTAACTGTTCGCTACGGTATGTCCGGAGTACGTTATCCGATGCAACGAAGGCAACAGACGGAGCACTCAAGTGAGCCGGCAAGAAATGCGCGGGTCCTCCAGTCGGAGCGACGAGTTGGGACGACACGGCCATGGCGGCGAAGAGGAGAGAAGAGTGGCGGGAGAAGAAGAGTACACCTAAATAACAGCGAAATGCCAGAACTGAGCGAGAGCAAAAGTATCCGGGGCATTATGACGGGAAAAACGGGCGGAATGCCGCGCGGAATCCTGCGGATGCCGCGGCGCTTTCGGCGCTCGCCTCTAAAACTCTAATGCGGTCTCGAACGACGCGAAGTTCGCGATACGTGGTTTGTTCTTTTCAGCTGAACTGGCTGCATTAGTAGTTCGAGAAATTTACATGCACATTGAAGCGAATGAAGCGCACGTACGTGCGAGATTCTCATGCATCAATGTGCATAAATTTCTTGAACTAGTGTAGCCAGTTCTACTAAAAGGAACGGACTATTGGACATCTCGATAACACATCGAGAGATCTCGTAGGTCGGATGGTCTAAAAGATCTTTCTCCTTAAAAAATTTGTACTCTACACTGAGAGAAATCTAACATTATAGTCATTTTCGACCTGACCTGTATCTTCTTCCTTCTTTTTAATCCAGAAAATAGTAGCAATGTGCATGTGTAAAGTTATTATTTCTGACATTTTGGATAATATTTATTGGAAAAATAGTTCTCCTGATATAATATATATTTTACTTACACGATTATGGTTACAGACTGAAAAAAAAGTCTAAAAAATGAAACATTTATTCGGTGAGTATTGATAACGTATTTACTTATACATTTAATATATATATTTTTACACTGAGAGAACGTTTTCTTTTAATAAAAAGATATCTTTTTTAAACTGTAGCTTTTCAGGAAAGCAATTGTTTATTCCATTTATTAAATAAAAGAATTTGGAAATCAAATTAAAATATGTTATTAATATCTACTGAATAAATATTTTTCATTTTTTATGA